ACTCAGCAATTGCAGGGTGAGTACACACAACCGGCACAGGCCTAACACAGGTTGGCAACAATAGGAGAAACTGGAGACCCCATAGCACACCCAATATTGGGGAGCAATATTATAGGCAGAGGGATTCCCCCTTTTTTTTATCAACTTGAGTGCAGAGATTTCTGTTTTCTGTCTGAGCTGCCAGTTTGAACTGTACCTGTTTGTCTTGAAAAGTTATTTAAATAAATTTATGTTAATATAAAAAGGTCACTTACCAATTATATGCCTGATGTGATGATTTTTTTCTTCCGCCTTTGGTTTTATAAATCTGTGTACATTTCCTGTCATTAAGTGACCTTGTACTAAATGGCTGCTAAAGTTATTAGTTTTCAGTCTTATACATCTGTAAAGTAACCCATATCAGAATCAGAATCAGTTTATTATTGCCATGTCAATGAATGAGGTACACAAACTAGGAATTTGCTTCGACAGAAGGTGCGAATAGTAATAAAGTAAAAATTAAGTAAAAATGAGAACATTACATAAGACATAAGACCTGTGTACACCCACAAATAAAGTAAAATTAAAAACACAACATAACCATATGTACACCCATACAATAGAAACAATAAAAAAGCTTGGAAAACAGTACAGATGGAGTATTCAGTTATAATACAGATGTAATGTGACCAAAGCCGAAATTATGAGGTAGCATTATGAGTGTTCAGGTGTCCAACAGCAGAGGGGAAGAAACTGTTCTTATGGCGGGAGGTTCTGGTCCGAATGGACCGAAGCCTCCTGCCTGAGGGGAGTGGTTCAAACAGTCCGTGTGCAGGGTGAGCAGGGTCAGCTGTGATCCGACCTGCTCGCCTCACAGTCCTGGAGACGTACAGGTCGTGGAGGGATGGAAGGCTGCAGCCGATCACCTTCTCAGCTGAGCGCACAACGCGCTGCAGTCTCAGTCTGTCCCTGGCAGTGGCCCCGGCGTACCACACCGTGATGGAGGAGCTGAGGATGGACTCCATGATGGCTGTGTAGAACTGCACCATCAGCTTGGCCTGCAGCTTGGCCTTCTTCAGCTGTCGCAGGAAGTACAGTCTCTGCTGGGCCTTCTTGATGAGGGAGCTGATGGTCGGCTCCCACTTGAGGTCCTGGGTGATGGTGGTGCCGAGGAACCGATAAGAGTTTGCAGTGGTGATGGGGGTATCATTACAGGTGAGGGGGGGCAGAGGGGCTGTGGCTTTCCTGAAATCCACAATCATCTCCACTGTCTTCCGGGCATTGAGTTCCAGGTTGTTGCTGCTGCACCAGGTCACCAGCCGGTCCACCTCCCTCCTGTATGCAGACTCATCACCGTCCGAGATGAGCCCGATGAGGGTGGTGTCATCTGCAAACTTAAGTTTCACAGAGTCATGGCTGGAGGTGCAGCAGTTGGTGTACAGGGAGAAAAGCAGAGGGGAAAGCACACAGCCCTGTGGAGATCCTGTGCTTATAGTCCGAGTGTCCGAGACAGCTCTCCCCAGCCGCACGCACTGACTCCGGTCTGTCAGGAAGTCTGTGATCCACCTGCAGGTGGAGTCAGGTACATGGAGCAGGGAGAGCTTGTCTTGGAGCAGAGCAGGGAGGATGGTGTTAAATGCGGAGCTGAAGTCCACGAACAGGATCCTGGCGTAGGTTCCTGGGGAGTCCAGGTGCTGCAGGATGAAGTGAAGAGCCAGGTTTATTGCATCATCTACAGACCTGTTGGCCCTGTAGGCAAACTGCAGGGGGTCCAGGAGGGGGTTGGTGATGGACTTGAGGTGAGATGAAACCAAGCGTTCAAAGGTTTTCATGACTACAGACGTGAGAGCTACAGGTCTGTAGTCATTTGGTCCTGTGACACGTGGCTTCTTGGGGACAGGGATGATGATGGAGGATGATGATATTAGTTATACATTAACAAACACACACTATCATTCATACAGCAGACACTCACTCACACTCCAACATCATTCATGCAACAAATATACATGGCATTTATTCATTTCAATTCAGTTTATTTATATAGCGCCAAATAACAACAAAGTTGTCTCAGGGCAATTTACAGAAACATTCACATACCTAAAAGCCAATTAGTAAAGTTCTCTATCTAAGGAGGCCAGCAGACAAGTTGAATCTTATGATATTATATTTCCCTATACCTTCAAGGTTCTTGTTTGTCCCTCAACTTATAAAAACACATTTCCATCACTGCCTATTCTAAAAAGCTATAAATCCCTGTCTTTAACCATAACAGCTCCATACGGTCATCTGCAGCTATTCTTCTTATTGATTCATTCTAGGAATCATCCAAATATAAGTGTTTCTGTTAAGGATTGAGCCGTATCAGAAGCACAGCCTCGAGCACGAGAGAAAAAAAAGTCGCTCGGGGATGTATTGCTGACCAGTCTCTTTTCAACTGCAAAACGGATTCTAAAAAAGTTGGGACAATAAACAAATTGTGAATAAAAACTGAATGCAATGATGTGGAGGTGCCAACATCTAATATTTTATTCAGAATAGAACACAAATCACAGATCAAAGGTTTAAACAGAGAGAATGTATCATTTTAAGGGAAAAATCTGTTGTTTCCAAATTTCATGGCATCAACAAATCCCAAAAAGTTGGGACAAGTCCATTTTTACCACTGTGTGGCATCCCCCCTTCTTCTTACAACACTCAACAGACGTCTGGGGACAGAGGAGACCAGTTTCTCAAGTTTAGAAATAGGAATGCTCTCCCATTCATGTCTAATACAGGCCTCTAACTGTTCAATCGTCTTGGGCCTTCTTTGTCGCACCTTCCTCTTTATGATGCGCCAAATGTTCTCTATAGGTGAAAGATCTGGACTGCAGGCTGGCCATTTCAGTACCCGGATCCTTCTCCTACGTAGCCATGATGTTGTGATTGCTGCAGAATGTGGTCTGGCATTATCGTGTTGAAAAATGCACGGTCCTCCCTGAAAGAGATGACGTCTAGATGGGAGCATAAGTTGTTCTAGAACCTGAACATAGTTCTCTGCATTAATGGTGCCTTTCCAGACATGCAAGCTGCCCATGCCACAAGCGCTCATGCAACCCCATACCATCAGTGATGCAGGCTTCTGAACGGAGCGTTGATAACAACTTGGGCTATCCTTGTCCTCTCTCTGGATGACATGGCGTCCCAATGTTCCATAAAGAACTTCAAATCAAATTCTGCCCCAGAGGAGTGTTATTTCCACGAAGTGTGCCATTATTCATGGCGAAAAGGGAGAAATGTGTGGTTTGAATATATGCCATGACGGCCTGCCTCACACGTGACGATGACGTCATTGATATTTTGATCAGACACCCGGAAGTGCGGAAAAAGACGAGGACCGAAACCAGAAGAGTTGAACTTTCACTGGCAACTTTTACTGTATTTGACGAGTCTTTTTTAGGTTTTTTTGTTCGTGCCTGATTGTTGTGTGTCCGAGGAGCTTCTTGAAGATGCCGGCCATGGAAAGTATCCTTAAAAAACGGGCTAAAGAGAGAGAAAATGACGGTGGGTGTACAGTTTCAGGAGCTAAAAGGAGCGAACACAACGGTAGCTTCGTCATGATGGTGAGATTTACGTGTGACAGGTACCAGAAACGCTGCAGATGCTTCGGGTTCAAACCAGAGACTTTTAAAGTTGTTTAGTTTATCCTCTGAATGGTACCGACTCGGTTCGGGCGTTGTTAAACTTCAACAAAGCTGCGCTTAAGGCCTCGGAAGCTAATATTTGGAAACAACAACAAACGACACTTTATTTAGAGCCGGGTGTTCACTTATATTAGTCAAACATGACGTGTTCACGTTACACCTGACTGTGGGAAAAATCAGATTTAATCTGCACCACTGGGAACAGAACATAATCATTATTCAAATTATTAGGAAACTTAAAAATACATGTTGTATAACTTGTATTTATCTCCTAATAAAAGTTTTAAGTACCACATTCATGCAAACCCTGTTAGTTTTAATATTAACCAGTATAATTTTATGTGAATTAAAAACTTGAAAATCACTGATCCAATATTAAAATCACTTTGTTAGTTAAAAACAAAACAAAAAGTTGATGTTTGACCCAGTTTAATTGTATATGGTTACATTTTTAAATAAATAAAATCATATTTAGTGAACAAGAAGTTACTTTTTTTATGTGAAATCAACTTGTCACTGGACAAACTAGTGTCAACAGTAATTTGGATATTTTTAGTTGCCATTTTATATTTTCTGCAGCCATTCAGCGCAGAAAGTTGACGTTCGCTCATTTACACATTTGTAATAAATTTAATTGTGTCATGCATAAAGCAAATAATCAAAAATAAAAACAAATCAACGTGATATACTACCTACAGATCGGATACAGTTGCTGAACTTTGTTGGTTCTAAACAAATAATTTAAAACCATTTTTCAAGTCATTTTCATCAAAAGTTATTGCAGTCGGTGATTAATATTATTTAATTAAAAAAGGAACCAATATTTTTGTTTCCTAATCCTGCATTTACCAAGGTAGCATCTTGTTTCCTCGTATGCTTGGATAAACAACAACAACATAAGAAAGATGTTTACTGCCTGTTTGTTGGGGCTCGTCTGTCTTTAACCTCAAACCTCAGAACATCTCTTCAACCTAAAGTTCGCTGCCAAAGAGCTCCAAAGAAATGCAAAGAAATGTGACAAAGAGGAAAAAACCGAGAAGGCAAAAGTCAAAAAGGTAGGTTGTCTCCCCGCTCGGCACCCCGAGCTTTAACGCCGAGGAGTTTAATGACGCGTTCTGTCGTCTCCAGGCCATCCAGAAGGGGAACATGGAAGTGGCGCGGATCCACGCGGAGAACGCCATCAGACAGAAGAACCAGTCTGTGAACTTCCTGAGGATGAGCGCTCGCGTGGACGCGGTGGCAGCCAGAGTCCAGACGGCCGTCACCATGAACCAGGTGCCTTGAAGCTTGACGACTGAAGCGGTTTTATTTGAGAGCGTTCTGCTGACGTTCTGCTCCTCCCAGGTCACAAAATCTATGGCTGGAGTGGTGAAAGGCATGGACGCCACTCTGAAGAGCATGAACCTCGAGAAGGTACAGCCCCTCTTATCAAATATTTGCACATTTTTAATAAAAACACGACTATCGCACTTGTTTTAGATCTCAGCTCTCATGGACAAGTTCGAGCACCAGTTTGAAACCCTGGATGTTCAGACGGCCCAGATGGAGGACACGATGAGCAGCACAACAACCCTCACCACACCGCAGGTGAGCTCCTCCTCTGCACTCCCCCTGCTTCAGTTCCTTTAAACAATAAACTTTAAATTTAACGTGTGATGTTTGTTTCAGAACCAAGTGGATTCGTTGATGCACGAAATGGCCGACGAAGCAGGGTAATTATTATTTTTGTCTCTTCTACGCTGCATGGAAAAGGCTTAAATGTGGTTTGTAGGTTTTAAAAATCAAACAGAACATGGAATAACATTAGTGTTTCAATGTTCTTTTTAAAAATTCTACTATCTGAAGGAAAAAGATCTGGTTTTCTGTCAAATAAATACTCAAACTTGTTCTTTTAAGTTGAAAAGGACAAGTTGCTCCACCTGCATGGAGCTTTATTACTCTGTGGGTAACTAGTCAGTCAAAAGTTAGACCATCCCTAAGACTGGGTTTTATTTTGCTCTAAATTATTAACACAGATTTTTATTAAGGAACTGTGTGATTAAAAACACCATTTTATTCAGAAAACACTTTTTTTTTTTCCTCCTAAAGTGACGTTTCCTGCCACTGCCTCTCCTTTTAATTTAATCTAATGGCATTAGTTAAAGAAAAAGAAGAAATCGTGACATTTTCTGAAAATCTGCAGTAAATATCATATTTTTCAGACTATAAGTTGCACTTAAAATCCTTTAGTTTTCTCAAAAATCGACAGTGAGCCTTATAATCCGGTGCGCCTTATGTATTAATTCTGGTTGTGCTCACTGAACTCAAATTGATTTTAGTGGTTAATGTGAATGAGTTGAATAAAGTTTGACTTATCTGACTGTTTTGTTTCGCTTAATGCGCCTTATGTATGAAAAATATTCGTATTTGTAACCGGACACGTAAAAAGGTCGTCACATTGAAAGTTTTAAAATAAAAGTTTTGGACTCGTATGTTCGGTGAATGTGTTTTGTGCAGCTTTCTAAGAATCAAAAGGACATTTTTAAATGTTTTTGTCCTTTTTTGCTCAGGCTGGACCTGAACATGGAGCTCCCTCAAGGACAGACGGGATCAGTTGGTACCAGCGTGGCTTCTGCAGAGCAGGTATTCATGCTTTTAAACATCTTTTTGTAAGAAAGCAAACGTGACGCATCAAATCTGAACCAAGCTTGATTTTCCTCTCGTCTTCCTCGCTGACGTCCGTCTTCGTCTCTTCTCTTGCTCGAAGGATGAATTGTCTCAAAGGCTCGCCAAACTCAGAGATCAGATGTAAAGACCGACTGCGGTGGACCGGCACCAGATCACAGAGTTCTACAGAAACCTGCACACTACCTGAATACAACCCCCTTTTATTGACATCATGTCTTCTTTCCTGCTTTTTACATCCTTTGTGCTTGTTGAGGAGGAACTGGTTGAACTGATTAAAATGTGTCTTCTTCTCCAGTCCTGTTGGGTCTAAGACCCCATTTATGTAAAGAAAATTTAATAACATTTTTAGAAATAACACTTAATATTTCTGTAATATCAAAAAAATAAATCAACAAATTGAAAAAGGATTGATGAAAACACTTTAAAACACCAATTATTACAAATTATAGAAATTATTAACCTATTTATTGGTCTGTTTCATGTTTCATCTCAGTTTTTGTACTTATTGTTTGTTTTTGTTATTACACACACACACACATAAGTGCATGATTGCAGACAGAATATGCATTTTCTCTTCTTGGACTGTTGAAACCTTTTGTCTTTGTTGGGAAACAGACTGTTTGAGTTCATTAAATCCATTTTATTTTTGATCAGTATCTTAAGCAGATTCTTTTTTTTTTTTGTTTCTCTGGTCGCCTTTTTTTCTTGTTATTTTAGCTCCTCATTTGTGAAGGGTACAGTTTAAAAACTGAACGAGAGAAAACAATAAAGTTTTGTAATGCCTACATTTCCTTTTCCTGTTTAAAACAATCTGCTTTTAGTAAGTAGTCCAAGTCGTTAACACATGAGTGAGAGGAAACTTCGTGTTGTCATGCGCTTTGTTTGTCCGGCTTGTTCCTCCAGACTAACCAAATGCAGAATTGTGTCGCAAAAAAAAAAGTTTTAACAGAATAAAGTCCAAAAACAGTTCAGTGAAGTTTCATGAATGAACTCTTTGTCTGGATCAGTGTGTCTCAAATTCCTGCTGGTGCTGGACAGATTCTGTTCTGTGATCAAAGCACAAAGTTTTAAATATTTAAGAGTCATATGAAAACTGATTAGAGACAAAGTTGAATCAATACTCCTGATTTATTTAACATAAACTGATTCCACAGTTTCTGTCAAAAGTAGTCTTATTTTGAAAGACTTCATCGTAATCTGTAGAAAATGCTTTTAAAGTTTTACAGATTAAAATTATTCTATCTTGTCTTTAGTGTGGAAGTAGTTCTATTGTGAACATGTGAGCTAATATAAAAAAAATTATATTTTTATACTAACAAAATACTTTACGGCTAATTTTTTAAGCGCGTTTAGAAGCGTTTCCGGTTCCGCATTTCAAAATAAACTTTTTCTTCTGAGCATTCATTCAACCTTTATTTAGACAGTTTAATCCCATTGAGCCTCGAGGACTCATTTACAAGAGAGACCTGATTTCAACAAAGAGTGATGACAACAATGGACAACAGCGACAATCATAAAAAATGCATACAGATTTATTTTATTATTATTTTATTTAGCTACTTTAACACCATAAATCACTGTGAACTGTCTCAAAAATAAAGATGACGCGGTTACTCTTCTTGTGTTGAACATATTTCTTAATATCCTGATACATGGATATTTCTTAATATTTTCAGGATTTAGCTGTTAAAATGTACTAAAATAATCTAAACAATAATTTTACAATTTTTCATTCGAACAAGTGCCCCCTATTAGCAATATCGCTAATAAATCTAAATTTCAATATTTTAACATAAAATATATTGTAATAATTATCTATAATACGCCTATGTCGTAACCGGGCTAGCACTGCCTGTAAGACAAAACTCGGGGTTTTTATCCCTCGTGCCCATCATGTGACTTTGTCGTAAACAGGAAGCAGCTGATCTTTACTCCACGATCTGCTTTAACCAAGTAATGTGTACAGCTGAATACTCCGAAACAAATAAAAACTGCTGCCTGAACAGCCCGAACAGAAGTAACCGTTCTGCCCTTTGGGGTGAGTTGAAATTTGAATATTTAACTTTCCCTCGACCTGCGCAGCCGCTTAGTTTAGGTAGGCTAATTTTTTTTTAGCGCAGCTAGCATAGTTGAAGTGTTCACTCGGAGCAGGAAAACTAGTTTTTTTTTAGCGACATCAGTGTTCGGTTTGTGTCTTGTTTTGAGCCTAACAGTTTGTAAATGGTTATGTGTGTGTGATTTGTTGGTGGTTTATGAGTTGAACTGTTTTAACTCCAGTGGAGCTCAGATAACAGCGAGTTGTTTTGTTTTTTTGGACTGTTTGTTTTCTCAGGAGAACTGGTCATCCGACCTGCAGCTCAGAGAAACGCTTCTGTCTCCTGAGGGGCATGTCAAGCACAGCAATGAAGAAGAAGGTATCAAATGTATTTATATTTACAGCTGGATCGCTGCACTTGTAAAAACAGCTTTTTTTCTTATTATTCCATCTATGCTGATCTAAAATTACTACCGTGAAAAATAGTTTTTGTCTGTTCGACGTTAGTTTTAAAACAAATGTTTCATATTGAAGCATGCTGCTTGTTAGGGAATAGTGGCACATAACTTTTGGTAGTGATAGGTTGTACAAGTTAGACACAATCTGCAGCACAAAAAAGAATGGAGGTCAATGGGAAGATGAGAAAGCCCTGTTCTCTTTGGAGCAGTAGCTCAGGCATCCTTCACAGTCAAAACGTCATTCTTTGTTGAAACTAATCACTGAAAGTTGGACTTTAAGTGTCTGAAATCTCATTGATTTATTTTACGGTTCTTGCACAGTCACAGTTGTTTTAGGCTTCCTTCTCACTCTGCGTTTCTGTCTGCCTTTTCTTACCTGGGCACCCAGGAGTGGCAGAAACAGGTGTTTGGTTACCATGGAGACCAGGTTGAGCCACTGAAAGCAGCTCTTCCTATAATCCTGGTTCTCTTTACGCTTCTTTTACAGTTTAGACATCAAAATCGAAGCAAACTTGATGATCAGAAGATGCACTGCACTTCAAAATGTTCTAGTTTCAGTTTAACATTCATTTGACAGATTGATAGAAATTAAACAAGGTTATTAAAAACGTCTAAAACATTATTTAACATTCCTGATTTAATTGAATTAGTAGGTTATGGGGCATCATGGTGGCTCAGTTGGTAGAGCTGCTGCCTCTCAGCATGAAGGTTGCTGGATCGAATCCCAGTTTGCATGTTCTCTCCCTGCATATATGGGTTTTCTCCGGGTACTCCGGTTTCCTCCCACAGACCAAAAACATGCATGTTAGGCTGATTGGTAACTAAATTGTCCCCAAGTGTGAGTGAGAGAGTGAATGGTTGTGTCCCTGTGATGGACTGGAGACCTGTCCAGGGTGTGTCCCCCCCCCCCCCCCCCCCACCGCTCACACAGTGAATGGATATGGGCACTACACCAGTGATCCCCACGCCTCAAACAGGATTACATGGGTAAAGATAATGGATGGATAGTAGGTTATGTTTGAGTGTGGAGGTCAGTCATTCAGATCTAACAAGATTAAGTCAGGTCCTCTGGACGGATTCTTCTCTGTTGAAACATTTCGTCTTTTATCCAAAAGACTGAGGAGCTGCAACAAACTCAGTCCTATAAGCAGCACCTTCTTGTAGTGGATCAACCAGTTTGCTGCTGACAGCCAGAACTAGCTGTTCATGTGTTAAAGGAGGACCATCAGCCTGAGCCCTGTTAGATGTTAATGTTAGAGCCCTGATGGCTGCTTGCTATTCACAGAGAGCTGAGTGATACTAGCAATAACAGCATTATAAGCAGGAGAGAGTTGAACATGGAGCCCCCTGCCTGTTTAATGATGGATGGTTTCTGTTTACAAAAATGGCTTCCTTTACTCCTCTCTCATCAACAGGGGCAGAGGCCTCATTGTTCAACTGTCCCTCTCACATAATGCTGTTATTGCTAGTATCACTCAGCCCCCTGTAAATAGCAAGGAGCTTTCTGGGCACTAACGATCAATTGTTAGGCTGATGGCCTTCCTTTTACATGTGAATAGCTAGTTCTGGCTGTCACCAGCAAACTGGTTGATCCACCATGAGAAGGGGCTGCTTATAAGACTGAGTTTGTTGCAGCTCCTCAGATTGAAGAAGTCTTTTGGAAAAAATAAGAAACATTTCAACAAAGAATCCGTCCAGAGGACCTGACTTAACCTCGTTAGGGTTTTCTACCTGGATTATTGAACATGCATCAGGTCAGTCGATCAAGGTTAAAATGTTTTTGTCAAATCATTTTTGTTATTTTGTCCATCTTCTTTCTGGTGTTAAGTCTATTCTCTATCACTTTCTGCTGGATTACATTTTTACACATTTGTTAAGAATTTCTTCCAACCAAACATCAGTTTGTGATTTTAGCTACGTGTTGTTCAAATATCTGTTGTATCAAGACAAAGTTTGTCACCAGGCCGCTTCACTTACGTTGAAACTCAGTGACTAAAACTCATTCAAACAGACACTTTTTGTTTAATTAATTAGAATCAGACACTTGAAAGTTTCAGTCAGTAATTTCAATCCAAAGCAACTTTTTACCAATCCAACTTTATTTGTAAAGCACCTTCCACACCTCAGCAGACCAAAGTGCTGTCAACACGGCTCACGCATTGTAAAATATAATCATGACATAAAACCAAAGAAATAAAAACAGTAAAAAACATAAAATCTGATCAGTGTTTTCCCTAGTTTACTTGCCATGGCTGAGCGCTGATATGTTCCGTGATTTTTGTCGATAAGGGGTAGGGGAGTGCACCGACAGTTTTTAATCTGGGGGGACGGGGTGATGGCTCAGCATGAGGTTACCGGAGCGTCCTATGTTGCTTGTAGCTTGTTGATTGTAGCTTGTTGCTTGTTGATTGTAGCTTGTTGCTTGTAGCTTGTTGCTTATAGCTTGTTGCTTGTAGCTTGTAGGTTATTGCTTGTTGCTTGAAGCTTGTAGCTTGTTGCTTATAGCTTGTTGCTTGTAGCTTGTAGGTTATTGCTTGTTGCTTGTAGCTTGTTGGTTGTAGCTTGTTGGTTGTAGCTTGTAGGTTATTGCTTGTAGCTTGTTGATTGTAGCTTGTTGCTTGTAGCTTGTAGGTTATAGCTTGTTGCTTGTTGATTGTAGCTTGTTGCTTGTAGCTTGTAGGTTATTGCTTGTTGCTTGAAGCTTGTAGCTTGTTGCTTGTAGCTTGTTGATTGTAGCTTGTAGGTTATTGCTTGAAGCTTGTAGCTTGTTGCTTGTAGCTTGTTGATTGTAGCTTGTAGGTTATTGCTTGTTGCTTGTTGATTGTAGCTTGTTGCGTGTAGCTTGTAGGTTATTGCTTGTTGCTTGAAGCTTGTAGCTTGTTGCTTGAAGCTTGTTGCTTGTAGCTTGTTGATTGTAGCTTGTTGCTTGAAGCTTGTTGATTGTAGCTTGTAGGTTATTGCTTGTTGCTTATTGATTGTAGCTTGTTGCGTGTAGCTTGTAGGTTATTGCTTGTTGCTTGAAGCTTGTAGCTTGTTGCTTGAAGCTTGTTGCTTGTTGATTGTAGCTTGTAGGTTATTGCTTGAAGCTTGTAGCTTGTTGCTTGTAGCTTGTTGATTGTAGCTTGTAGGTTATTGCTTGTTGCTTGTTGATTGTAGCTTGTTGCGTGTAGCTTGTAGGTTATTGCTTGTTGCTTGAAGCTTGTAGCTTGTTGCTTGAAGCTTGTTGCTTGTAGCTTGTTGCTTGTAGCTTGTTGCTTGAAGCTTGTTGCTTGAAGCTTGTTGCTTGTAGCTTGTTGATTGTAGCTTGTAGGTTATTGCTTGTTGCTTGTAGCTTGTAGGTTGTAGCTTGTAGCTTGTTGATTGTAGCTTGTTGCTTGTAGCTTGTAGGTTATTGCTTGTTGCTTATAGCTTGTTGCTTGTAGCTGGTTGCTTGTAGCTGGTTGCTTGTAGCTGGTTGCTTGT